CTTTCCTCTGTAGGTTTATGTGTAGATGCACTTTCCTCTGTAGGTTTATGTGTAGATGCACTTTCCTTTGTTGGACTAGTTTGAACTTCAGTTACCTGTAAAAATGTAAGTTTTATTTTTAGAATAAGCATTTTCAATTTCACCTTTTACTCACCATTTTATATCACATCGCAGTCCTTTTCGAGTAACCCTTAGTCATTTTCTTGCAGTAGTAACTATTATGTAAAGTTATACACAAAGAGAAGACTTAACACGGCCACATAAACAATATAAATCATAAACTACAATGATTTCTTTAATAAGTATCATGAGGCATATCTAGTCTTTTAAAAGGTATCATTTAAATTTCAGCTATTAAGAAATCATTATTATTTAAACACAGTAAGTTCTACAAGTTATTTTTAATAAACCTATTCTTTAGAAAAACAATGATAGTTAGAGAACAAGGTTCAGATCTCTTGTTCATAGGGCCACTATGGGCTGTGCTTGACTCGACGACACCAAACAACAATTTTGTTGGGAACTATAGTAATGTTAGTATAGCATATTATAGGGTTGGGATTTTTGCTGTTTTTCCCATGTTTTGTTTAAGAGCTTATTTAAACTATTCAAGATAAATGAGCTTTAATCCTCATGTTCTTCATCCTGGTTAATCAACTACACTCAAACATTCATGTAGATGATTATTCTACACATTTTTTGTATATTTCAAACACCTTTGGAAAAAGGCACCTAAGACATTACAGTTATCTTGCTCTTGCTTCTTTCGATGGTTACAACCCCTCCACCAAGATTATGAGCCATTAACCTTGATTCTTTCTTGAAGAAACTGCTCACAATTGGCAGCATCCATGATTCCATCTTCCACCACATGGGTACAATCAAGGATGAACTTCAGAACCGGTTTCATTTTTTTTTTTCCCACCCCCTTGCCACAGGCTTCTTCACAGGTGCCATAGAGGCAGCAAAATCTGAAAGACTTATTATAGGCTTAATCCAAATAGATATCACATGCCATATTTCTAGTCAGTGTCACTCAGATAAATCAAATAGGGCCGAAACAGAATTTCCTATCAGCCCAAAACCTGCCCCACTTCCTGCATTACAATGGCTCTATTACCTGTTCAAGTCTAATATTTGAGAATCCTTCTAAGGTTTCACAGTCGTTCTCAATGTCACAGTTAACTCCAGAACCATATAATTTTATATCTCCCCCATCCCCAAAGTACTGTGGGGAGCTCTGGTGGCCCAGTGGAAAGAAGCTGTGCTGCAATCCCAAAGGCATGCAGTTCAAATCCACCAACTGCTGCATGGGAGAAAGATGGGCAACTTCTCTCATTTGATTAACTGTCTATGAAAACCTGCTAGAGGGTCAGCTATGGTTTGGTTCTGACTTGACAGTACCAAAAAAAAACAAAAAAAAAATACTTCCACATACTGCCTCAGGATAAACTTTTAGAAACAGAGGATCATGTATCACTTTGCTGCTCAAAGGTATTCAGTTATTGTCTATCATCTTCTTGTTATATGCAATCGAGTCACCTGAGACTCACAGCAACCTTATGGACAATAGCTCTGAAATCTGCCCTTTTCTGAGCAAGTGTCACTGACTCAGATATACCTACCTCCATGAACGCAGTTACTGTATCAATCCATCCAATCCAGGGTCCTCCTCTGTTGCAGTCCCAACGTTCCAAGCATAATGTCCTTCTCAAAGGACAGGTCTCTCCTGGTCACATGCCCAAAGTATGTGAGACAGAGTTTCAAAATCTTTGCCTCCAAAGAGGAACTTGATTTCACCCTCTCCAAGACAGACTCATTTGTTCTCTTGGCAGTTTATGAGATATTGAGTATTCTTCTCCAGCATCACAACTCAAAGGCATCAATTTTGTTCTATCAACCTTAGTCATTGCCCAGCTTTCAGATGCATAGAAAGTAATTGCAAAGACCATGGTATGCATCAGGTGCACCATGGTCTCTAGATTGATATCATTGCTCTTTAACACTTCAGAGATGTCTCTGACAGCACACTTCTCCAAGGCAGTTCATCGTTTGAATTCCTGACTTCTTGTGTCAAGAGGGTATTGATTGCAGAGCCAAGCAAGCTGAAACTGTTAACAACCTCAATCTCTTTTTTCATCTATCATGATGCTGCCAATTGGTCCAGGGTAAGAAACTTTGTTTTCTTGATATTGAGCCTCAATTCATATTGAAGGCTCCAGTCTTTGACCTTCTGCAGCAAATCCTTCAGGGCCTTCTCAGTTTCAGCAAGCAAGATTGTGTCATCTGCATGACACAGGTTGATGATAAGGCTTCCTCCAAACCTGATGCCATGTTATTATTCCTAATAAAGTCCAGCCTCCCAAATGATCTGTTCTGCACTCCTTTCTTGATTTTGAACCACAGTGTTTCCTTGATCTGTTCTGACAACTGCTTCCTGGTTCAGTACAAGTTGCCCATGTGCACAATTATGTGTTCAGGGATTCCTATTCTTCTTAAGGTTAGCCACAGTTTGTTGTGATCTACACAGTCAAATGCCTTTGCACAATCAATGAACACAGATAGACATTCCTCTGGTACTCTTTGCTTGAAACCAAGATCAATCTGACATTGATGATAAAAGTCTCCAGTGCCATGGCCTCTTCTAAACTCGGCCTATATTTCTGGTTGTTCTCTGTCAATGTATTGTTTCAGTCATTTTTGGATTATCTTCAGCAGGATTTTGACTGCATGTGATGTTAGTGATACTGTTCTATTAATTTTGACACTCTGTCAGGTCACCACTTTTTTGGAATGGGAATAATATGGATCTCTTCCAGTCAGTTGGCCAGGTCGCTGTCCTCCAGATTTCTTGGTAGTTGTCCTCTAGAATTCATCTTCTTTAGGGAAGCGGGATATGCAGATTCCAACATGGAAGACAAGTCTCTCATATTTTATTTCTAACACATTTCTTTGGACTCAAAGTTACCATACATGTGACATGTGCACTAAAGATTTTCTTACATTCCCTATGTTTTGCATCTCCCAAACCTCTTGAAAAGCAGCTTCTTCAGAGATAACACCCAGAAAGTTATCTGTTTGGACCATTTTTAATTCATCCTTTAATGACTTTATCCTTTACTGAGAAGACACCAGTTCTTGGAAACTTCCTTAAGCCAAATGGTCAGCTTGGTTTAGGTCTTTCTCTTATATACAAATTCCATGTGTCTATGTAAGATGTCTGCTTGTAAATCTAGTTATCTCATCAAAGTAACTTCCTTTTTTTTTAGTCCCATAATGCAACAATAATAAACACTCAATATAGGTGAAGTGTGCACAACTTGGTCAAGACAAAAAAATTTCCAAAGTACAAGTTTCCTTCTACCAAAATATTACTGGGATAAACAATAACAGCACAACTGATTAATGAAATAATTCATTTACTACCATTTTCCCCTGTTTTGTTGCCTAATTTCAATAAAATTTCTTCACAGAAGAGTACTTGTTAGTTGTCAATAACACTTACCAATTTCCGTGATCTTTCCAACAGTTTAGTCCATATTTTGAAATTTGCCTTAAAAAAGAAAAGATTTACAATGAATTAAACAAAGCAATAAAGTTAAAATAAAAGGGAGTGAGTCTTTATATAGGATTTAAGCAAAACAAACAAGCAGGCATTACTTGTATGTGTCCAAGTTGTAAGAAAAGTGGGTAAGTGTAAAGAAAAAGGTACCACCTAAAAAAGCTGTTTTGTCTGATATTTAAGAAAAAATTTATTTAAGAACTGAATATGCCAGTCTTCCTCTCTTGTCTCTCTTAATTTCTAGCACAAAAAGCATTCCTTCTTGTAGGAAGGAAGGAAAAGAAACAAAGCCTGCCCTACTTTAGCACAAATGTAGCTCATTCTTTGAATAGTCATTTCAAAATGCTAATGATGTTGTTGGGTGCCATCAAGGTGACAATGACTCATTAAGCCCCTATGAACAACCCATTTCAACAATCTCTGTCCTAGCACCATCTTGAAGATTTCTGTTCTGCTCAAGTCTATTGTAGTAGTCACTGTGTCAATCCATCTTGTTGATGGTCTTCATCTCTTTCGTTAACTCTCCACCTTATCTTATCTATCATGCTGTTTCTTTCCTGAAAATATGCCCTAGCTTTGGGAGGGACTGGAGAGCCTTACGCTGAGTGAACCAACTCAGTCCCACAAAGTCAAATATTGTATAAAACCATTATTGTGATAGTCAGAGCCATGTTCTGGATGGGGTTGTACGGCGTTTCGGTCTAGATCTCAGCTTTTATTTCCATCAGGCTGCGGGTTTCACGAATGGGGTCTGCAGGCCTGTCTCGGCTACATGGGCTTTTCGTGACTTACAAGCCTCCAGGACTAAAGTGGGAGCACCTTCGGGACACTGTAGAGATGCAGCTTTTGAAAGCGTGTGCACTTCCTGCTGGGCCCGGTGGAAAGCTGCGAAGCCAAGGAACTGACCCTCACCGCCACTAGTGTGCCCATGCTGCGCAACCATCCCCTGGTGCGTGGACCAGAATTCACCAGTATGAAGATTGGTGTGGGACACCGGCTAGATACCCAGGCTTCTGGGGTGCTTGTGCTCGGCGTGGGACACGGATGCAGGCTTCTCACTGACATGTACAACACTCATCTCACCAAGGATTACACGGTGCGTGGCCTCCTGGGCAGAGCCACAGACGACTTCAGTGAGGATGGGCAGCTGGTGGAGAAGACAACCTATGATCATGTGACCAGAGAGAAGTTCGAATGAATCCTGGCAATGATCCAAGGCTCCCATCATGAGGCACTGGTAATGTAGTCTAACCTCGATCTGAAGACTCAGGAGGCCTATGAGATGGCTGTGAGAGGCATGATCCGGCCCATGGGCAAGTCCCCAATGCCGATCACTAGCATACGCTGCCTCCACTTTGCACCTCCAGAATTCCTCTTAGAATTTCAGTGCATGCATGAGATGCAGAAGCAGTTACAAAGGCTGGTGCATGAGATAGGCCTGCAGCTGAAGAGCACTGCTGTCTGTTCCCAAGTACGGCGCACTTGAGGTGGCTATTTCACACTGAACGATACCCTGCTAAGGACCCAGTGGGACCTCCATAGTATCCAGGATGCTATCCAGGCTACAGCCCCCCGAGTGGCAGCTGAGCTGGAGAAGAGCTTGAAGCCGGTGCCAGGTACCCAGCAGCAGCCAGATTCAGGCCAGTCCAGGGATTCCTCAGGGCTGGGCTCCACCTAGGGGCTGGAGTGCAGCAAGGAGCATTGAAAAACCATGGATCTGGAGAAGGAGTGAACAGCAGAAGGAGACCTATTCATGGGCCAGGTCTGATGCTGTATAGAAATTAGAGGAAGCTTTTCTGCATGTGATGTGAGACACGAACTATGGGACTTTGTGGGAAGCCGAATTTCAAACTAAATATTAAGGATAAACCAAATGCTGTATCAGGATATGAGGGAGGCAAAATACATACAAGCTGGAATTCCCCCTGAGACAAGTTACAGAGGTCAAGTGCAAAGGCCAGACCTAACAATTCTTGGATTGTATTTACTAATCCCTCCTCCTGAGATAAGCATAAGGTTTACAATAGAGAAAACCTCAACTTCATTTGCAAAAGATTTTCTCTTTGTGATTTACTTCCCTGTGATTCACAATAAAGCCACAGAAGGGGGGGGGGGAACAAAACCAAACCATTATTGTGGAATGAGTATAAGGATCCAGGGTGGGGGGGTGGAAGCGGAGGGATAAGGATGTGCAGGGTGTGGGGGGGAATTAATCATGGAGTTGTAGAATTTGAAGGGGGGGGTGAGGGAAATTGGAAGAATCTGTTCTGGAAAAGAATGTATTTGAATTTTGTAAATAAACTAGCATAATAATAAAAAAATATGTCCAAAGAAACGAGATGAATTTTCATTATCTTTGCCTCTAAAGAGCACCTTCTTCAAGACAGATTTCTTTGTTCATTTGTCAGTCCATGGTATAGTCAATACTCTTTGCTAACACACACTTCAAAGGCATCAATTCTTTTTTTGTCCATATTCACTGTCCAACTCAGATGCATGAGAAGAAGTGGAAATACCTTGGCTTGGATCATGGCACACCTTAGGCTTTAATATCCTTGTTCTTCAGAACTTTGGAGAAATCCTCGACAGCTAATATCTCCAACACAACATGTCTTCTGCTTTCTTGATTGCTGCTACCATGGATGGTGATTTTGGATTAAAGTAAAATGAAATCATTGACAACTTCAATCTTTTCTCCATCACACAACCTTGCTTGCTTAAGATAAGGAAGACCTGAAATGCTTGCTGCAGAAGATCAAAGATTATAGTCTTCAATATGGATTGCTTAACATCAAGAAGACAAAAATCTTCACCAATGGATTTGTAAGCAACATCATGATAAAAGATTGAAACTTTCAACAATTTAATCTTACTGGGATCCACAACCAATACCCTGGTAACAGCAGTCAAGAGATTAGGAGCTGTCCAGCAATGGGCAAGTCAGCTGTCAGGAACCAAATTACTAATGTTAGTTTGAAATAAAGTGCACCTGATTCAGGCCATAGTCTTTCTATAGCTTGCTATGAGTGTGAGGCCTGGACAATGAATAAGGATGATGACAGAAGAAGAAAGCTGTGGTGTTGGAGAAAAGTATTGACTATGCCACGGACTGCCAGAGGAACAAACTGTTATGCTTTGGAGAAAATACAGGCAGATGTTCCTTGGAAGCAAAGATAGCAAGGCTTCATCTCATATACTTTAGGCATGTTGCTAGGAGAAGCTATTCCTTGGAGAGGGGACATTACACTTAGAAATGTGGAGGGTTAGAGAAAGAGAGGGAAGATTCTCGATGAAATGATTTGACACAGTGACTGCAGTAATGGGCTCACGTGTGCCAGAGATGATAAGGACGGAGCAGCATAGGGCAGAGTTTGGATCTGTTACTCACAAGAGACTATGAGCTGTGGCAGCATCTAACAAGAACATCAACATGTTGCCCACTGGTCCAGTGATGAAGATATTTGTTTTTTTGATGTTGAGATCTAACTCATACTGAAGGCTGTCATCTTTGATCTTCTGCAGCAAGTGTTTCAAGTCTTACTTTCATCAAGCAAGGTTGTGTCACCTACATAACATAGATTTTTTTGATGAGTCTTCCTCCAGTCCTGATGCCATCATTGTCTTATCCTCCAGCGGCTTGAATGATTTGCTCAACATACAGGTTGAATAGATATGGATAAAGGATACAATCCTGATGCATACCTTTCCTGATTTTAAATCATGCAGTGTACCATTGTGCTGTTTGGACAATTACTTTTTGGTCTATGTTTAGTTTCACATGAGAACAATTAAATGTTTTGAGATTCTCATTCCTCTAAATGTTGGGCATAATTTGTTATGATCCTTGCAGTCAAATGCCTTTCTGGTCAAACATCTTTCTGGTATTCTCTGCTTTAGCTAAGATCCTAAGATATCCGCAGTGATACTCCTTCTTCCATATTCTCTTCTGAATCCAGTTTGAATTCTGGCAGTTCTCTAACAATGAACTGTTCCACCCCTTTTATAATAATCTTCAGCACGATTTCACTTACATGGAGCTGGAGAGAATGATCGAATTTTGCACAATCAATGACTTATTCATAGCAAATACATTTTTAAGAGGCATAAACGCAGGTTATATACCTGGATTTCACCTGATGGTATGCATAGGAATCAGATCGATTACATATGTGGAAAGAA